CCCCAATTCTCGTCGTATCCATTTCTTGTGGGCCTGGCACTTTATTCGGGGCCGAGGAGGGTGCAAAGAGCTGGTTTTCTCCTCCAGAGCCGGCATGTCCCAGCCGTGGGGGTAGGAACCGGCCTCCCGTTTTCCCCTTGCAGCTTGAGAGCTCTCAGAGTTGGGGATATTTATTTTCTCTCCCCCTGCCCCTCTTTTTTTTTTTTCTTGGCTGTTGAGTTTCCAGCTGAATCCTGTCCCACTCGAGAGACTCTGGCTGCACCAGTTGTGTTTGATTTTTTTTTTTGTTGGTGGATTGGTATTTTTTTTTCCTGTTGGCGTTACAGAGCTAGTTCAAAATATTTTTGGCTAAAATAAGAATTAAATGGAGATTTAGTTTTATGAAATGTCAAGAAATAATAATAATAATAAAGAATAAGGTTGTAAACCTGAGTCTCTGGCTTATTGAGATCCTGGTGGAGGCTTGAAAGATCTGGGAGCGGTTTCTAAAGGAGTCTGGCTTTAATTGCGCACAGAACCAAGGTCCAGGTCCCCTGGCCTTGCTGTTACTGAATTGTCCTGGTAAACTGATGTGCTTTAAGTCTTACCTCATCAAATCCTGACCTAATCCCTCCTAATCGGATTAGGTCAGGCCCAGAGCCAGGTGTCTGTATCCCTTCCAGAAGCAAGCTGACTTGCTCTTACCTGCCCAAAGAGCCTATCATGGGCAGCACCCAATGGCTGAGCTGGCATCACCGAGGGACCCAAGTCCCTTCCAGCTCAGTGACACAGGTGGCTTGTGGGTCTGACAGCCAGGAAAGAGCCAAAAAATGTCCTAAATCTGCAGAAAATGGCTGTTTGCACACAGGCTCGGGGCCTGGAGGCTGCTGGGTAGAGAAGTTCCATATTGAAACCTCTCCTTTGCTAACAGCCGCTCTCAAAAATCCAAGGCTGTGCTTTTGTAACTGCTGCTTCTGCTTAATTTTATCTGTTTTCTTGGGAATTGTGTTTGTTTTCCCAGGTTTACAGGTCTCGCAGCAACACCATGCATGGAAGAAGAAACACGAGTCCCTTGCTGGCCAGCGACCATCTTCCAAGTTCTACCATGCTCCCTGTGATCATGACATTATTTCCCTCCGCTCTCATTTTTCTACATCACAGGGTTGAACCCATGAGATGATTGTCTCCTGTCGCTCTCCAAGTTCTGCTGCTCATCCCCAAGCCCTGTCCTACCACCACATCCCCAACCTTGAAGGTGGGGGGGGACAATTTTTTTGTGGAGATAAAGCCCTCCCCAACAGAAATGTCAGGTTTTTGCTTCTCCCTTAAGGTTCCTGATCTGGCACCTGCATCCAGATGGAGTAAAGCTCCAACCCCAGATCTTCCATGAAGCTCCAGGTTGTGGGATGACCCAACGGTGGCCAGGAGCTCGATAGAGCACTCTTTTATTGATATTTTTTTTATTTTTGTACACAAAATTTACGGTTTCTTGCTACTGCCTCCTCATCTGGTTCCGATGGTGACTTGCCACACCCGGACGAGGTTATCTGTGTAGCCGGCAAACAGGGTCTACAGAGAGAAAAGAGATTTGGGTCATGGGAAGGGTTGGATGGCAGGAAGGCCCCCAAAATCCTTGTTCCCCAGGGCTGGGATGCCAGGACAGGGACAAGGGGGATGGTTTTTACCTGCCCATCTGCAGACCAGGCCAGGGAAGTGCACTGGGGTGGTTCGGCTTTGCTGCTGGTGCTGATCACCTCCTGCTTCAGCTCGTCCACAATGATTTTGCCTTCCAGGTCCTGCAGAAAAAAGAAGAATGTAAAGGAATGAGGGGTCCTGCGGGGAGAGTCCCACGGCCGAATCCCACCCAACTCTGGAACACCGTGAGGGAGCAGAGTGTCGCTCAGAAACAGCCTCTGGATTTCCGCACAGAGATGCAGTCGGATGGCATGGAAGTGTTTCATCATGGCATGGTAGCTCTGTTCCACAGCCACCGTTACCTCCTCCGGCCAGTGGATGGGGCCAGTGGATGAGGCCACGTGCACCCTCACCCCCCCCACTGGGGTGGGGACACTCATCCAGAATTCCTCCTCTAAGATCTGTGATCCAAGGATCTCGACCGTGAAGGTGACTCCAAACCCAGCACAACCCAAAAGCTGAGGAAAGCGAATCTTCTGGAGGAAGCCCTGCCCAGGTGAGGATGGAGCAGTGACGTACCCAGATCTTGATGCTGGGGCCGGTGGCAGCACACAGCCAGTAGCGGTTGGGGCTGAAGCACAGGGCGTTGATGATGTCTCCTCCATCCAGGGTGTAGAGGTGTTTGCCTTCATTCAGGTCCCACAGCATGGCCTGGCCGTCCTGCAGGGCAGCAGGAGTCAGAGCAAACCCCAACGCTCATCACCCACCCAAAAAAGCCTCTTTCCACCCCAACCACAGTTAAGCAGGACCACTTCTGCCACAAGCCAGCATGGATATAGAAAAGTTAAAGGACACAGCAGGAAAATTCAAAGAAAAAAAGAGCTAAAGAAGGTCCCTGGAGCTAAGCGAGCATCTTTGCCGTGATCTCCCCTCCTTGCTTGATATCTGCTACTAGGGCCACCAAGTCAGGCCAGATCTTTGGGCTGTTGCCACCCCACTCAAGCCATGACCACAATGTGGAGCCCAACGTGGTCTAGTGGAGGGTGTCCCTGCCCGCAGCAGGGGGGGCTGGAACTAGATGATCTTTTAAGGTCCCTTCCAACCCAAACCATTCTATGATTCTCAAGGTGGGAGACACAGAAATAAGCCAGAACTGCTGGTAGGATGCCGAGATCTTGTCTCAGGGTGTCAGCCTTCCCCCTGTGACACATACCTTGCCACCGGAGGCACAGAGGGAGCCATCAGGGGAGACAGTCACCGTGTTCAAGTAACCTGTGTGCCCGATGTGGTTAGTCTTCAGCTTGCAGTTAGCCAAATTCCAAACCTGGGTGGGGAAAAACAGGGGGGCAGAAGGGGGTTAAACGCTGCTACTGCACCCTAATCCTGGAGATATTGGGTGGGGGGGAAAACCCTCCCTGGAGCAGTTAGGCTGCTCCAATCCTCCCCTGCCGCTGGTGATCCCAGCTCACCTTCACCAGCTTGTCCCAGCCGCAGGAGACGATGATGGGGTTGCTGCTGTTCGGGGAGAAACGCACACACGACACCCACTCCGAGTGACTCTCGTCCTGGGGAAGAACAACGACGCTGGGTTCACAGCAAGGAAACGCAGCCGAGTCTTCCCCACCCCGTCCACGGGGCACTGCAAGATCAGACCTGCCACAGCCCATCACTCCGAAGTTTTCCCAGACATCCCACCGCCTCGTCCCCCGTCCCTCATAATTGCAGGACTTGTCCTCAGAACCCCCCAGGAAGAGGTCAGCAGGGAACACCTCACTTCTAATCATCAGGACAGGGCTGGGAGACCTGGATTTTCCTGATCAAAAGCGGTGGGAGTGCACCTAAAAAGTCCACGGAGATCTTTTCTTTTGACATGGAAACCTTCCCTGGCTCACCTGCACTGTGTACTTGCAGACACCCAAGGTGTTCCAGAGCTTGATGGTCTTGTCCCTGGAGCCTGAAACGATCTGGCGGTTGTCAGAGGAGAAGGCCACGCTCAGGACGTCCTTGGTGTGGCCCACGAAGCGACGGGTGGTGGTGCCACTGCGGGAAGACAGAGATAACAGGAGATCTCATGCATGTGTTCTGCCAAGGAGGGGGAAAATTCAAATTTCTGAAGGAAAAAGAAACACAGAATGGTCTATGAAGGGTCAGGAGCGATGGTTCCCTTTTTCCTTCAAAAGAAGAACTTTGGAAGGACCAGGGGAATCGGGATGAGTTTATCCCGCGTGCATGCCTGGCTCCGCAAATCCTGACCCTCTTCTCCTGGTAGTACCAGTTCAGCCCAAAATGACACCAAAAGAAGAGCTTGAGCCTCACTGATGCTTCTCTCCCATCATAATTGCAGGACGTGTCTTCAGATCCTGGAGGATCAGCAGACTTTGTCAGGTCTAATCATTGAGAGAGGGAGCCAAGGAGGAGCAACCGAACACCCCAATTCCCACCTCCATGCCAAATCGTGGCACTGGCTGCAGAAAACTCCCCCCACCGCTGGAATTTATCTTCCAGCCCAAGCGTAAATCATCTGTTTCAAGGTGCACTGGTGACCTCATACCCTCTCCCAGCATCAAAACGAAGCAGGGATGCAAGCTACAGCCCTCCCCCCCCCGCCCAAAACACCCTCGTCCCCATGGCTCACGTGTTGAGGTCCCAGAGCCGCAGAGTACCGTCCCAGGAGCCAGAGAGAGCAAACTGCCCATCG